GTGTGTGCGTGCGTCTGTGTGTACATTTATTCATTTGTCTAATATTTCCCTTTTTTAAACAAGTTAGAGATATTTGATCTTAGTTTTTTATTTTTGTACCAATCTCTCTAACCCAGTTAGGCCCGTTGTCGACATCACTTCAAGTACAAAAAACAACATATTTCCCATTGGTGCCTCCATAATCCTCACTTGTACAGCGCAGCCCAGAATGAGTGACTCTGTCTATCTGGATAGATGGGTCGAATATATTGAGTGGTACGATCCTCAGGGTAGACGTGTTGGAGCTCAATGCCAACAGCCCTCAAACGTCCATGCTCACAAAAGAAAATTAAGCTGCCCATTAGTGCTTAAAAAGTTGACAGCTGACAGTTTTGGCTCCTACAAATGTCAAGCGGGTAACAGTTATACAAGGCACTGCACAAGGAAATCATTTGAAGTGGGGAAGAAAGGTAAGGAGCCTTATCATTCCTGTATATAACTACAATCATAATACGTTCCTCAAAGCGACAGTGGGTATCGTGCACTGGGTTTTGCTGCAGCGGAAATTTTTTTTTTAAAGTTGGTTAGTGCTTAAACACGAAACTCCAAATAATAAGTAAACTTGAATATTATTTTCCTTTACAACTATTATCCTATTCCCACAAGAGATATTTATTGCATAATACTTTTTCCCTGTAGGCGCTAAGGTAATGTTAACAGAAGTTCCGCAGCACCAAAGTGTTGATATAGGGGCCAATGCAACTTTCAGCTGCACCGCCGAAGGTGATGATTTTAAGCCAACCATCTTATGGTTCAAGAACCGCGATTTAATTGCCTTACAATCCAATTCAAGTTTGAAGGTCATTGAAAAATCGTTGGAAGGAAACAGCATGCAAAGTCGGCTGCTAATTATGGGGGTGAATAAAGAAAGTTTTGGCCAATATCGATGTGAGGCAGAAAACAGCAATGGTAATTATAGAGCTGTATCGTGGGCTCTTTTAACCGAAAGGGATTCAGGTGAGTTTTGCATACGCAAAAGGGTTTATTTTCCACGTCATGTTCAAGTTGAAAACCGATGAAGTCTTTCACTTAAATGCCAACGCAGTCCCTTTGTGTTAAGAAGACGTTACCGAACCTGTGCGCACGCGACTTGCGCGTGCGTGCTTTGAGATTTTAAGTAAAAATGTCGTTAGCAAATCACGCGGACCTTTTATTTTTGACGTGTGGAAGTTTCTTAGAGAGGAGTTGAAAGGTTTGTGTTTTCGAGTCGCAATTTGTTTGGCGGTCGTTGGTGTTTAACGTTACGTACCAATAAACGTGTTTATGCCTTTCTCTCTCTGCCCAAAACAAAATCCAAAATTGCTGCTCTTGCCTGAGCTCTGTTTACCGGGCAACAAAACAAAATAACAAACTTAAGTTGGAGCAATATGGCTATGGACAACAGGTCCATAGCCGCTTTTATTGAAATAAACAGAACAAGAATGAATTCCGTTATAATATGTTTGCCCAGTAAAGGTGCGGGCCAAGAAAACGCCAAAAGCAATGACACAAAGGTGCATAGCTGTTCCGTTTCGCTTCCAAAAATTTTTGGCGACCACGATGGGAGCAAAGTATGAGCTATTATGTTTTGAGGTTTCGTTTGCTTGTTGAGTTTTGGAGTTGAGTGCTATGGCTAACGAATCCGAGAATGGCGAAGTTATTGAAGTTTACTGAGAAAAAACGACAAAAATCGACCGAGTGGAGTCGACAAACAAAAGCAAAAGGACGTTCTGTTGATAGAGATTAAGAAAAGAAAACGTAAGGCAAAGACAAAATTGACAAAGCTCAGACATGAGTTGGAAAAACTATGCTTAAGAGATTCAGAAATAAAGGACATAGAAGCAAAGGTGTGATTGAACTGCTGTGGGCAGCCCTAGAGAACGCACAAGAGATATTCTACGTGAAAGTCAATGAAAGAAGAAGTTACAAAAAAAGAAGCATTTGAAGAGTCCGAAACAATCGAAAGAGATGTACAAAGAACAATTGAAGCGGGTCAAAATGCGATCAAAGTCCGCGTGTCCAAAAGTCACGGCAGCCACAAAGACCGAAACCAATAGTTGAAGCCGTTAACAGTTCCGACGTTCAATGTTGACAAGGGAAAGTTTGAAGACTTTTGGGCCCTTTTACAAGTCTCCTAGACGAGTCAGTGGAGCCAGTACATTTAAGAATGGCAAGGTTACGACAATGCTTTACAGGGAACGCTTTGGAAGCCATCCGTGGTCTTGGAGTCACCGCCCTCGAATGCAAGGAGACAAAACAAATAACAAAGACGAAGTATGGAGGTACGCGCCGGCTTCTGCGAGCCTACTTGGATCAACTAGAACAGGTGCTGTTAATAAGAAGCAACCATATCCACGCGCTGGAGAAGTTTGGCGACTTTGTTAGAATTACAGTGGTAAAATTACAAGTCGAAGGAAGGGACGGTGAGTTACGAGATGGAACTCTTCACAGCCTGCTGGTAAAAAAGTTGTCTGAGCTAGAGAATTATAGTCACTGGTTAAACGAACGCGCCGCTAGACAAAGATCAGTCATAGCTCTCAGAGACTAGTTGAAAGACGAAGTTAGATTCCGAATACAAGCAGCGGAAATGGTAAATGGGATTGGGTCGAAACCTGTCGAGCACGTCAGACTACCCAGAGTACCGGGATACCAAGATCAGAGTGGGAAGCAAAATTTACATGCGGTTGCAATAAAGAAAGAGCCGCGTAGTGTTAAGCCTCCATGTTCTCTCTGTTACAGTTTCGACGAGGTGTGGTATTGCAAGGAGTTTTACGGCAGAGGAGTGGATGACCACTGGAGGATCGTGAAAGAAAGAAAGCCGTGCTTCCGTTGCCTAGCCTCTAGTCATAGGGAAAGATTGCCCGCAAGTGTGGAATAGATAGTTGTAGTCACGACGCCTCACCTTCGTTTAATAATTCACGCCTTTTGTATATTGTTTTCCGTTTTCGGTTTTTCTGTGTATATTTGTTGTTTTATTAGGTGCACCAGTCATTTTTGGTTACGTCACATTTCATATTTTTGTGTTCATTATTTATGCATTGTTTCTATTGTTTGGTATAGCTTCTTCTCCGTAGCTTTCTTGTCGCCGTTGTCATTATGTTTTAGTCGTCGTAGTCGCCATATAATGTTGTAAGTTTCGTTTATTTGTGCGTCATTTTGCCTGTTTTATTTGCATTTCGTTTTGCTTTCCTGTTCTGTATATTTAACTCATTTTAGGTATATTTAACAACTATTCACCGAAGTGGAGGTGGTTAATGGTGGATGTTTACCGAGCCGCGAAGCGGCGAGGTATATAT